GGATCATGATAAAGAAAAAGCTTGAAAGGAGGAGGACAATTTATGAAACGATACAAAATTGGAGATAAGGTGACTGGTACAAGACCGTTTACCTTTCCAAACAGCAATAGGTTGATCAAGATCAGAGTTTGGAGAAATGGAAGAATCTCCAGGCGTTGAAGCGACTAGTGGAAGTGGCAAGGCTAGGTTTACTACTTCAGTTGTTGGAACATAATTAACTACTCTTTTGCAACGACGAGCATAGACATGAAGAGCTGGTGGGACGCCTAAATCAAAAACTGGAGTTGGAAGAACAAACTCTTGAAGAATGAAGTCCTCCAAACGATTGCCTTCCTGGGAATAATAAGGAACATCCTCAAAGAAAGTTACACAAATTGTTTACGAAGAGTTGGACTGTAACATTTATATCCCTTTTGAGTGTGAGAAAAACCTAAGAAAATACATTTGTGAGCACGAGGATGATGAGGATCAAGTTTGTCTCATCCCAGGCTTAGATTATGAACAAAAAAGACACACCCAAACACCTTTGGAGGAATGGGAAAATGGTTTTTGTCAGGAAACATCATTTGGAAGGGTGATTTTCCTTAAAGGACCCTAGCAAGCATGCAGTTTTTTTTTTTATAAGTAATAATGAAATAAAAAGGCGTTCAAAAGGGGAACACATCCCTTAAATAATAGTGGAACCGGGGGTTAAAGACCCAAAGAATCCAAAAAAGTAATTTAATCATTAGAAGAGGAGCAAGAACTCCTCTTCACATAATTGAAGAGAGAACGAATAATAAAAAGTTTCAGCATCGCCGTAGACGACTCCTTCCCTTCAAACATTCTACTATTTCTCTCCTACCAGATGCACCACCAAACGCAATGTGGGACAATTCTGCAATAATCGCGTATACCCCTACTCACACGACATCCTCTCTAAGCATGAATCAAATCCTTAGAAGAATGTGGCATTACCCAACGCATGCCAAACAGCCCAGAATAAGATTCCAACAGTCGTGCGCCACAAGGCAATGCATTAAGAGATGATCAACTAACTCCCCATCTTGCTTGCATAGGCAACACCAACTAACAAAACAATTTCCCCTCTTCCTCAAATTATCAATCGTCAGTATCTATAAGGCATGCGGTTTAAAAGATAAGCAGCAACCAGAACTGCATCTGCACAAAAATGTTTGGGAACATGCATTTGAATTATTAAGGCACGAGCGATAGCTAGGAGTAGGCCATTCTTCCGTCCAGCAAATTCATTTTGTTGAAGGGTATCAACACAAGATGTTTGATGGATAATGCCTCTCGACTCAAGAAACTTTTGAAAAACGTAAAGTTTATATTCAAGGGCATTATTAGTTCTAAGAACAAGTAATTTTGCATCAAACTGATTTTGAATTTCAGCATAAAAGGATTGAAAAACAGAGAATACTTGAAATTTATCTTTAAGAGTATAAACCCAAGTTAAACATGAATAATCATCAGTAAATGACACAAAATAACGAGCACCAAATAAACTTGTAGTATGAGCTGGTCCCCAAACATCCGAATGTACTAACTCAAGAGGTTTTAAAATTTTATTATCGAAACGAGACTAAAATCTAGCCCGATGATGTTTACTAAGTTCGCAAGTAGTACAATTAAACTTAGCAAAATCAACTAAAGAAGGGACCAAGGCTTGAAGAATATTTGAAGAGTGATGTCCAAGGCGGCAATGCCACTAGTAAGCTAAAGAGAAGGTGGAATGTAGAGCTGTCGGAGCAGTAGTTGGTTGGAAGTAGTAAAGACCATCCTTCTCAACCCCACCACACCCCCCCCCCCCCCCCAATCGTCTTCGTCTTAAGATCCTGAAAGACACAACAGGAAGGAGGAAAAGTAACTGAGCAATTTAAATCTGATATGATTTTACGAACTGACAATAAATTGAATGAAATTTGAGGGATATATAAAACTGATGAAAAAGTGAGACCCGAAGTGTGGAAAGTACCAAATCCATGAACAGGTGATTTGGCACCATTCGTTATAGTAGTAACTGATGGTGAGAAAACATGAGAAATATCAAAAAGAAAAGATGGGTTACCTGTCATGTGATCGGATGCCCTTGAATCAATGATCCAAGGTGTAAAAAAGGAAGCGTGGAGACAAGTATTACCTGAAGTAACAATAGTAGCGGTGGAGGAAGGCTGATTTGCACGCTCACGCTTTACCAGAGGATCATATTCGACTTTGGAGAGAACGACTTGTTCATTCACAGGAGTGGGAGTAGTCTCCTCTGAAGCCGAAGCTTGATTAGCCCAAGCTGGCTTGTCACGAAGAGCCCAACACAAGTCAACATAGTGATTGTTTTGGCCACAATGAGTGCACTTCTTGCTGCCGCAACCCCCTCTGCCGCCACGAGAACCATAGCCTGGGATGGAAGGACCTCTACCCTTGTCCTCCACGAAAAGTATCACATTGCTCAGTAGAAACAATAAGAGCAGAGTGGTTGTCCTTCTCAATCACAAGGGCATGAATAAATGCTCTTCGAACTCGAGCAAAAGTCTCACTTGCTGTAGGTATCTCCTTGCCAGACAAAATCTGCGAACTGATTGGAGCTAGTTCGGGTTTAAGTCCATATAAAAATTTTGCCACCCGAAACTCCTCCCTGTGCCATTTTTGTTATTCTATGTCTATAGTCAATGGTTGGTAGACATCCAATTCTTCCCACATGCCCTTCAATTCTGAGTAATAATCTTCAACAGAACGATCACCCTGTCGAAGATTAAAAATATCCTAGTACAACGGATAAATACTAGAAATATTCATCTCTGAAGAATACATGTCCTTGAGATTTTCCCAGATATCTTTGGCAGATTCTAGGAATGACACGTTGTTGAAGATCTCAGGCTTCAAGTTGTTCCATAACCAAGTCATAATCTAAGTATCTTCTTTCTCCCAAGCCTCAATAATCTTTTCATCACTGGTGGGCTTAGTTGATTTAAGATATAACAGTTTTCCTCGAGCCCGTAAGAACACCTCTATAGCTCGAGACCATTAAAGGTAGTTTGAGCGTTTCAGTTTGGTGCTGGTGATAGACCCAAGTAGATAGGATTCCTTAGTATCCATCACAAGGGCTGCCGAACAAATGAGATATAGTAGCGAGAGGGAGCCGAGATAAGAGAACCAAGATCTAGCCGAGATGAACCCCAGAGAAATTATCAAGGAGAGAGTCGAGGAGGGATCAGAGAGATTGCCAAGACGAGAACTGAGATCACCGAGGAGAGATTGCTGAGAGAAAGCTAAGAAGGGATCCGAGAGAGATTGCAAAGACGAGAACTGAGATCATCGAGGAGAGATCGTCCATAAGAGATTGCAGATAAAAAGCCGAAATGGAATCAAGATCGGAGCCTGAATAAGACTAAAAAAAATTTTAAAGAGGGATTGATTTCCGCTCTGATACCATGTCGAAAAAGAGAGAGAGAGAGAATATATGAAAACGTATATCTTATTGAGTAAGTAATACAATAATACAATGGTGTTTATATAGGAGAAGCTACGGGAGTAGGTGAGTGGAGAACAAGTAAACCCTATACATGGTAATTCTATATATGGTAATGAGGGGTAGGTGACGGCTCGTACAATACTAATTGTACACATGTGATAACTCATACAATACTATACAACGTGACAACTCATACAATACTGTACAACTAACATCAACTTATATAATTGTTACTTGGACATATTAATGGATCCTTATTAGAACATCATGTTTAAGAAACCCAAAAGCATAGGATAGGGAGAAGTGCAATGTTGGAAACATGAGGGATATTCCTAATATTTATACAAGATTACACCGGGGCCTATGTATGGGGAAACTTGAGTGGTGTTCCAAGTACAAATGCACAACTACATAGGATGTCTATGCAAATGATTCAAGCTGAGTAATTAAGTTGTGTTCTTCATATAGAGACATTATGAAAAAATAATATTAAACAGAAGAATATAGATAATAAAGGGCTATGTGGGAAACCGAGAAATCACTAGATAAGGATTAGCTTGACTAGGTTTGAATTTTCATAAACCAAGGAGGTTTTCCAACTTTTGCAAACCAACAGTAAGTTTGTATTCTTAGAACTGGAAAATATGTTGAGGATGGGCCTAGCCTAATCCTATTTTAAATCTTCACAAACAAACTCATGCGTATACAATTTTCCACAAATACTTGTCAGGAAAGGAAAACCATCAATATCTTTAATGAAGTGTTGCCATTTTGAAGATTCTCGCACAAATACCAGCATAGCGTAATCTATGTATGTTCTCCAAGCCCTAAAAAAAATAGAGAGAACAGTTTCTTACACTTTTTGGGAGTCCGCACAATCTTTAATTTTTTGTGACAAATTAAATGTATAGATGAGGTGCAGATAAAAAATTGTAAAAAATGAACAAAATATTTTGGGGCCAATGAGTTCAATAAATATTCTTTCTGGACATATATGGAAAAGAAAAAACCCAATGATTTTAATTGAACCCTTATGTCCTAAAGACACTGAGAATTCTCTCTCTCAAATCAAAGTTCCAGAATAAATTTGTGTCATTTCATTTATTACTCCTAAATTTGCTCACTCTAATTTTTCCTAATTTGGATCATTTGAGTTGTGTAATATCAGTAAAAATGTCAAAATGTCACCTTAGAACCAATGCATTAGGTTATCTATGGAGGAAATATGGGTTTTATGGCCAAAAGCTTCTAAAGGATGATCGCTATTATTTTATCTAGTATATGTTGAGCATTAAAAAGACTAGAAATTGTGCAGCTATACTTTTGTGTTTTTAAAGCAAAATCCAGTACCTTAGACATATAAGACATGTTTATATCATCCTACACAATGTGCAAGGAGCATACCATGCATGACTTGGCCATTGTCCAAACAAGTGAAAGTTAAAAGCAACTTTCCAACTACAGATCATTCCCTAATTCTTTCTTATTTCTATATGTGAAATTTTATATCTAGAGTCAAAAGCTTCACCTGTAGGATCAGAATTGGGAAGTGAGGCTGACGTTTTAATACGGTAATCTGTGATTTCTGCTGCACGCCTACATATCTCCAGTGCACGACGTGCATCTCCTGAAACAGCTGCTACCTGGTCGTATGTAAGACATTGTTTGAAGAACCTTGATTAGGAGTCCAAAAAGTAACTTTAAAATTTTCCATTTGTCCATCCATTCTAGCAGATGCAAAAAAAAAAAAAAAAGACGACTTAATAAACAATTAGCACTAATGTTGACCTTTCTGGAAGCAAATTCTATAGCTTGCTTTTCGAAGGCATCAATTCCTTTAAGGCGTGTTGAGATAATTTCTTGAAGCTGCTGATAGTTATACGGGCCAAAACAAAGCCTTTGAATACCCATACGGCTTGAAATACGCGGAAGCAACTTCTCTGGAAGATCCATGGTATTTGCTATTCCTGAATTATATTTGTAGGAAAGAAACTTCTAATATTAGTATACAAGTGATCATTCAGCTGGGAAGGACTGACAAAATAATTTTCTACCTATCACAACCAATTTGGAATTTGGCTTAGTGGGCCAGTCAAGAATATTATACAGAACCTGTATGACAGAGGATTTTGAATGCATAAGTATTAAACATTAAGAAATATTCATTATCCAATAACTACTGGTAAATTTAATTATACAACTTGCATAATTTACCGATTGATTTCTGGTCACAAGAAGATCAAGCTCGTCAATGAGTAGAATACATGGCCGGTTGTCTTCTTTGCCACTTTTGCTTCCAGTTGAAAATCTCTCATTCAGCAGATGGAGAGCCTTTTTCCAACTAACCCGGTGTCCACTTAGTGCTTCATAAATAACCTGAAAAGAATTGGGGTGAAGATATTATATGGCAAGGAGAGAGTGCCGCCATAAATAAAGAATTATTTCAACTTAAGTAAATCTTCACCCTGTAAATATTCTCTGGTGATGCTAATTTTAGACCATTAATCTCCACAAAACAGTAAGGCTTTATACTTCCTGCATCAACTTCAGACCTTAGATGCCTCATTACTGCAAGTACACTCATTGTCTGCAGTTTGGCGCAAATAAAAATACAAAATAAGCAACATTCAACCAAACTAATAAAAAAATATAGAAAAAACATATTCCCTGTTTAAACTGATGCTATAATATTATAACTTTTAAAGCCAATAGATTCTACCTTGCCAGTTCCTGGAACACCATGAATGTACAGGCAACGCCCCAGACATTGATCATCACAGATGGCACCTTTTATAAATGCAGTTATCTCTTCCATTTCTCTAAAAAGAAGCACATGATCCTGTTAGAAAGTTATTGCACAAAAAACTCAAACCATAATTTTTCATGTTCACATACTTATTCCTACAAGGCAGAGATTTGGGCACAGTTGCCAACAAAAGTGTTGCTTTTGCTCTTTCAAGTTCAGTCTGCTTGTGACATCTCACATGGGCTGGGATTTTCTTCGCCCCTATTTTCTGAAGTCCAAAGAATCGCCCCTTTCGTGAGTTCTGTATAAGTTACATAAATGATCAGTTTTCTGCTTCAGGCAACCACCACACTATAAGACGAATATATGCAAGACATAATAATGTCCATACTGCAGCCAACACATGAGCCAGGGATGGTCCAGCAATTAACTTTTTTCTGTTTTCCTTTTCATATTCCATGTCTTCTTCTGTGTCAGAGTCTAAAACCCCGCAAGATTTCCAATCTTCATCACTGTCAGCTTCTTCACCGTCCTGTCAAATAAAGAGCATAACTATAGATTCCAAGGGAACACCAAATCTATTATGATTGCATATGATCCAGAAAGCAGCTTAAATTTTTGGGAGTTCTTACCTCTTCATTGTTATCAATCTCTGCAAGACGCTTGAAACTATGCCATTGTATGTCATACTCATATTCACATAGAAAAACATCATCACCTTCATTTTTGGCCTTGTCAAATTCTTTAGGGTTCATAATGTAGCAATGCCTAAGGATAGATTCCATCTACAGGGACAAAAATTTACAAACTTAAGACTGGGAGTTGCACTTCTCAAACATTGTATCATAGTGGAAATAACAGACTAACATTACCTTACGGGTAAAAAAAAGACTAATATTGATCAAAAAGGAAAATAAATGAATAACAAGGAAAATTGTATTCGTGTGTGATTACAAATGCAAATGACTAAGTGCAGAGGTGAAGAAGAAAAGCTGGAGAGTGTGAAGCACCAAATAAGCATACAACTCAAGAGTTTGATGAGTGTCCAAAGTCCAATACCCCTGACAAGGCATCTAAGTCCATTCTTATCCTGACTTGAATAAGTTTGAACAAGTCTCACTATAAAAGTACGATATGAAATAAGAAAGCATATCAATTTGAAAAAAAAAAAAAAAACGAAAAAAGGAGATCAAATAGGATATCCATATCTGAAAAGGCTCCATCTCTCAGAAAATAATATTTCATGGTTTTTAGACCCCAATTTTTGATGAATGTGGACCACTAGAGGGAGAGAGATTTAAAACAAAAAAAAAAAAAAACATGTTCTAATAACTAAATAACTAAAAAAAAAAAAACCCGGAAATTACCAAAAGCCATTTTTCTGCCTCAAACTTTTGCTAAAGCTGGAATTTGGAAATATCAACCCCTCTTGTCTTAAAATATAGTAAACTAAATTGGGCTTCGCTTAACAGCCAGCAATTACTATTACAAGGCCTGCGGGTAAGTAGGTCATGTGCATGAATCATGATAATTGGTATGGCTGCTCTTCCTTGTCTCTGACCTCCATCTGCTATAGGAGTTGTATCACTAAATCTAATGGCATAAATACCACATGGATAGAAATGCCAGTGCTCTTTAGGTTATTTTTTCTCCTCTTCCTTTTTCCCAACACTCCAATGTCCTGTCGTCAAGATGTATAGGGTGGGCCTGAATTGCTTGAGTTGATGGAGGTGAAGGGTGTAAAACATGGGGATGGGATTAAAGGGGTAAGAAATTCTTGCATCTTTGGCCGAGGAAAAGAAAAGTAAGATGTCACTACAAGCAAAAAAACACAACAGAGAAGTATGTATATCGACTATATAATCCATGCCACTGGTGTGTCACAAAACAAATACATGATTCAGCTTTGGTAGCCAGCAAGAAACTGAAATGATTCTAATAATTTTAGCAAGTGAGAAATTATCAGATAAGCACCATAACAAAACATAAATTACCTCAATGTCAGCAAAATCATTGGTCTGATAGAGCTCCCTCTTCAAATTATGTGGCTGTCTTCCAGCAGCAGTTTCTTCAGGAATTATATACCATCGTCCCCGAAACCAATAGCTTCCATCCACCTCTTTCCATACACTAAAAACACCAATAACAACAACAATAATTGTCCTTACTACTGAATAAGTGTAATAACAAAAAATTGATATTTAGTAAAAATTACAATGTACCTTTCAATATGGGCTGCCCACAAATCACTTGAAAGAAGCTTCTCTCTGGCTGTCCTGACCAGTTTCTTCCCCCTCGGCAGGGTGGGCAGCTTAACCTCGGAGCCCAGTTTCCGTGCCTCACAGAACCCACAAATCCAATTCCCTTCTGGGACTTCCTTCAATGGAGGTTTCAAGCACTTCAAATGAAACCCACCTAAACAATCATCACATTCAATCATCACAGCCCTCCCAGCTCTATAACAAACCCGACACTCCTCAATTTCAGGGTCCTCCTCATCGGAGCTCGCATCCTCTCTCCTCTTCACATACACATCGTCCCCCACTGCAAACTCGCCTCCATCATACACAACCTTCTTGTAATACACCCGCCTCTTCTGCACCGCACGATTCCTCTTCTTCCCCTCAATTTTCCCATCCTTTAAAACCTTATTCTTGTTTGTACCCACACTTGATTCACCGAATTTCCTCCTCTTCTGTGATTCATATCGATCCGGTGACACTGGCGATAATGATGCATCAATTGTATCAGTTCCCTCTTTACGCTTCGATTTTTTGACATTTTTGGCAGAATTAGGGTTTTGTTTGATTGAATTTTGGGGGGTTTTGGGAGAGAAGTCTAGTGATACCCGGCGTGACGATGAGCGAGGAGGAAGTGACGGCAGAGGCTCTTCCGGGGAGGAAATGAGGCGGGAAGAGCGGCGAGAAGGGGCTAGGGTTTGGGGAGTTGGAGGAAATGGAGTTGTTGGGGGACACTTTAGGGGTTTGTGATTCTGTTGAGGGGATTGTTTGGGTCTTGAGATGGATTGGATCGATCTCTTTGGGGTTTCGGCCATGGAGGTGCTGCCGAGAGTGCTGAGGAGGTGCTATGGTCAAAGAGAAAGAGGGATGGTGGGTCACTGGGTCGAGATTCTAGAGAGGGAGAGAGAGTTGGCGGGAGATTTCCCTCCATTAGGAGCTTTTTTTGAACCGTTGGGTTTGTAAATACGGGTTGGAAACCCACTGCATCCACAGGTCAAATATGGGTCTGGTCTAAAAGTTTGAAGTGTAAAAATTTTAAAAATAAATAAAAACTGATTAGTTCTTAAATTTAGCGGTTTCAATATAATTAGGGTTTTGGTAAAAAATAATAATAATAATTAGGGTTGATTTTAATAGTTTATTTTAGTTAGGCTCAGGTTTAGCAGGTTTGAGGTATAACTTAAGTTCAATTCACCATATGAAATGTTAAACCCAAGTCGAACCCTAATCATACCCTTAACCTTAATCACTCAACCCAAATCCAATTCATCATTCTACTTTTAAATTCGGACTTGCAACTCGAGTTTAGATTCCGGGTAAAAAATTTGGGTTAATTCGTTACTCATATGGTTAACCCTTACGCCGAAAATTTAATATGATCCTGAATTAGTTTTAAATTAAATTACTCTTAAATAAATAAAAAGTTTAAAGATTTTTTTGTGGATTTTTAATAAATTACAAACAAATTTTTAGAAAATTAATTCTCCTAAATGTTAACCTACAATAAGTTAAGATTTAACAAAATAAGTTGAAAAGAAAAAAAGTAATCATAATTTAAATATTATATATATTGTATTTAAAAGTAAATATATATATGAAAATAATATTAGAATTCGAGTTCGAATTAGCTCGAGTTGCTAACATTTAAGCTCAAATCCAATCTTAATTGTAAAAATAATTACCCCAACTTGTGAAGGCTAGACTTGGGTTGGGTTCGAGTTATCCAACCCCAAGTTGCACCCCTAATTTTAGTTCCTAGTTTCATGTTATTTTTGTTTTGGATCCTGTTGGATTCAATTTATTTTTATTATTGGTGAGACCTCAAATCATGTGATTCGGGGTTTATCAGGATTTTTTTATTTTCAGATCAAGGTTCAACTTCGCCAACATTTGAAAACTAACGCCACCATTAAATTTGCTCCGCAAAGAATATCTAACATTTATATTTCTATTTTTTTTTTTCACATTTATATTTCTATGGGAGGTGAAGAAATAAATATACAATACTTTATTTAAGATTTTTTCTTGGTAGCCTCGGATATCCGTTACCTTACCTAGGGCTACAATTCATAATGCTATGTTTGGCAACACTCAAATTTGAATTTGAAAAAAATTTAGTTCAACTTCAATCCCAAATTTAAGGAACTAATTCCGATACTCTCAAACATAATATAAATTTATTATTTTCTTAGTTCCTAAAATTTTCGTTTCCTTATATTATTAGATCCAACTAGAAGTAGTGATTTAATTTTGGCCAAAATAATTATCCCACCTCCCTTTTTTTTCCTTCCTTTTTGTCTCTCTCTCCCCTCCTCCTCCCATCTTTATTTCTCCCTCACTTATTACACTAGAAGTATTGAAAATAGTGGAATTGATATAATTTCCATCTTTTCAACTTTAATCTTTTTATTTTATCCACTTATTCTCACATTTTTTAACATTTTTTTTAGAGCTAGTTTGGTATTGCTTCTCTCCAATTTAAATGTGTTTTTATTTTGAAAATTTTACGTTTAGATGTGCTTGATAATCATTAAAAGCGTTTTTAATGGTTGCCAAATAGCTTTTGAATGAAACTAGAATTCTAAGCTTTCAAAACTGCATGAGTAGAGGTTGAATATTTTAAATAACTCTTTTTCATTAGGGGGGTGAAGAAATATAAAGACAATTACATTATTTCCTTAATAAAATTATTATTATCAAATATAATAATATTAAAGAATATTATTGTAAAATTAGCAATAAATGTGCTTAAAAAAAATATTGTTACCAAATAAATTAAAAAATAATTGAATTGTGAAAAGTACTTGTTATAATATGTCACCAAACACCTAACATATTTTTTACCAACCACAATTTTTTAACAATTTTACTAATAAAAGCATTTTTTTTATTCTAACAGTAACCTCAAACGGGTTAATCCTCCACTCATATTGTGACAACCTTGGTTTTACAAACCAGGTACATCTGTGATGACCCGAAAGTTGACCCGATTATGGATCCAAAATGCAGAAGCGAAAAGAGAACGTGGTCTCTAAAGACGTTCATCGTCCCTAGGACGTCAAAGTGGTCTTCCGAGGAGTCCTATGACTCAACGGAAGCGAGACACAAATTAGGGTTTGAAAACCCTCCAAGAAATGGACCAAGGGTAAAATGGTAATTTCAAACAGAAATGGGTGCCAACATGCACACCATTAGATATACAACGAAAAGTAAACAAGGATAGACTCAAGAATTACATGATTCGGAATCCGAACGAAAAAATTATAGCCGAAGCAAAACGAAAGACAAGGCTGCCAAAAGTCAAGCTGGAACGAGCATTGCGGGCGGACTTCAAGTGCTGCCGGCACCCGCTATGCTGACACTACAGGCGGACACCAAAAATGGCAGGCGCCCGTCAAAATGCAAACTTGCTGCCAAGGAGATGAAAATGGGGGTTCGGGTGGTTTTTAAAACACCTAAATTGAATATGCAGCCCTTAAATATGCCTACAAGGCCAACGGAAGTTTCAGAACGGTTGACACATTTTTCAAAAAAAAGTTGATGAATAGTAATATGCTCTAAAATTTCAAAAGAGGCTTAAACTAGAAAATTTAAATTAACGCAGGATTTTTGAGACCAAAATGATATTTTTTAGAAAAATGCTGTAAAGTGACCCCCCCAAAATCATATTTTCTAAGTGACCATGTCGAAGGAAGTTCTTATTTTTCAAGTGAAGTACCCAAAATGCCCTTAAGATCAGATTTTACAAAAAAAAAAAAAAAAAAACAAATGCATCAGACTCAAAGTGCTCATTTCATCAAATATGAGGTTATGTGCAAAAGTGAACATATACGCAAATGTAATATGCATATTGAAGCGTGCTACAATGGTCCACGGCCTCAAAATACACCAAACACAAAATTTGATATGCCAAACCTCTAATATTCATAAAATTGCCTTTAAAAGTAAAATATAGAATTAAGGCGCATAAATGAAAACGAAAAAGCGTTTGGCCCTTGGCCACACATCATACATATAAAATAAGTCTCAAATAGTATGCTTAGTGTCACGCCCTGCAACCAAGAGGTTATGCCACCCAAGTGCCACACAAATGCCCAACAGATGATGACATGGAAGCCTGCATGGACCGGGAGCTTTCTAGACTTCTCTACACAAGTATGAAACTTTCTAGAATTCTTTAGAATAGTATGGAGTTGTCTAGTCTCTTCTAGACTTGTCTAGAGTTGTATAGAATTCTCTAAAATTCTCTAGACTTATCTTGTACATTGTATATAGTTCTAGAATTGTGTAGATAGTTCTTTGGAGTATTCTAGACACTTGTTCTAGGCCACACATTTGTACACATCTAGAATGTTCTTGTTAGGGCCAAAGGCCTATAAATAGGAGGTGGGAGTTTATTTGCTCCTCACCAAGCAAATAAGTCGTAATATTCTCTCAAGTAATACAAGTGTTCATACTTTCACCCAAACTCTCTTGTTCACTTGTCTAACTCTCTTCCTATACACACACTTGCAAGCAAAGCACTTGTCTAGCCTTAGTCTTTACTAAGCTAGCACGCTCGGGTAGGCTAACTTAGCACTTCAAGGGGCTTGAATGTGTCTAAGGCCGCACGTGAGCTTGGAAAGGTCCAAGTCCGTGACAGTTGGTATTAGAGTTAAGGTCGTGAGGCGTCACACCTTGTGTGAAGGAAGCAATGGCAGAGTACTCAGACATAACTAACATCAAGGATAAGGAGCTACGTGGAAGGGATCAAAGTCGCCCCCCAGTCGAACCGAGAACAAGGGCTAAGTCAAAGGACATTATTACGGACTTAGAGGCACGTTTGGCAAGTGATAAGTGCTCAAATGTGACGGATTTTAGCACCTAAGCTAGAGTATTTTAGTCTATTCATCTATCTTACTTTCATATCTTAGATACTTATTTGTGTTATTGCCTATTTCAGGTTAATAAAGTTTAAACAAGCTAACAAGAGCCATTTAGCCCAATTTTGGAGCTAAAGAGCAAAGTTGGAAAAAAGCTAAGAAAATGCACCAGAGGAACTTCGATCAATCGAAGGGAATCCCGATCGATCGAAGTCGGCTACAATCGATCAAAATGAGGCGGTGCCAGCTCAGCAAAGTGGATAAAGCCCAAAAGATATTTTTGATGCCACGTCACCTTCGATCAATTGAAGATAAGTGTTGGATCGATCGAAAATCTTCGATCAATTGAACTACCTGGTAGTGAGCTGTCTAATTCCCAAGCCTTGTCAGCTACGTAGTTCAATAAAGGCTTCAAGAAAGGAGAGACTAGTTATATTGCTATGCTAATGGAGACGTTCGATGATGAGCTAGTCCCTTCCCTATAAAAAGAGGTGCCTAAGGAGATAAGAGCCACGCTAGACGAGTACACGGACATGAAGCCTAAGGAGCTGCCCAAGAAGCTTCCACCTAGGAGAGAGGTGGATCATAAGATTAAGCTGGAACCAGGTTCTAAACCCCTTACTTTGGTGCCTTACCGGATGGCACCCCCAGAGTTAGAGGAGTTGCGGAGGCAACTCAAGGAGCTACTTGATGTGAGCTATATTCGACCCTCGAAGGCCCCATATGGCGCCTTGGTGTTGTTCTAGAGGAAGAAGGACGGGTCAATGTGCATGTGCATCGACTTCCAGGCGCCAAACAAGGTGACTATCAAGAACAAGTACCCCATCCTTCTTATTGCCAATCTTTTTAATCAGCTTGGCGGAGCATGCTACTTCACTAAGCTAGACTTACGCTCGGGGTACTATCTGGTGCGGATAGCGAACAAGGATGAGCCTAAGACTACATGTGTAACGAGGTATGGCTCTTATGAGTTCCTTGTTATACCATTTGGTCTCACCAATGCACCTGCTACTTTCTATACTTTGATGAACAAGCTCTTCCAACCCTACTT